ACAAAATCCAGAGACAGCTGGGTCAGTTGATGCCTCAGCCATCAGTCTTGAGCCCCCACTTTCTGGCAAGCAGCGGGAGGACTCGAGAGTCCTGGAAGGTTCCTGGGCGGAAGAGCACTCCTGACAGACTAGGCTCACAAAGCCACACACTGCTGGTGTTTCAAGTCTGTCTTTACACGGGTAAAAGGCTGTAAAGAATCAGAGGGACTAGGGTGCCCAAACTCAGTCTGCAGTTATAACTGAGTCCCATGGGGACTACAGGGAGCTGGGGACAGAGAGAGAGAGAGATGCAGGGACAATGGGGCCCAGAGAGGTGCTAACTGAGGTTACAGTGCAAATCAAAGTGAGGGAGAGAAGCCTAATAAGTATCCAGAAGTTCAAATCCCTAAAAAACCAATGAGGGCCAGTGGGGAAGGCGGGAGAGGAAAGTGGTAAAGAGACATCTGCGCCTGGAAACTCAGAGAAGCTCAGACTCAGCAACCTGAGAAGCGCCTCTCAGTATGAGTGTGTGCGCGAAGGAGGGGGCAAATGTTGAAGGTGCCTACAACAGCTGCAGAGAGATCTGAGGACTGGCAGAGACTCAAGCGGGAGACGGAGTCGCGGAGGCGGAAAGCACAAGAGATTTGTTCTAGTCGCTCATCAGGGTCAGCAGCAGAGTCAGTTCTCACTCTTCACATGGTCTCCTGACTCCTTTCCGGCTTCAGCCACAGCTGCAGAGGACAGACATGTAGACACTGTCCCAGAGAGTCAGACGAAGATGCAGAAACCATGGGGTGTGGGGAGCAGAGCTCACAAGACCTTGGGGGACAGGGACACGGAGACCGTGGAGGACAGGGACACAGAGAGCATAGGGATGGGGACAGCAGAGACCACAGAGGTTAGACGTTCAGAGACTGCGGGAGATAAAGGCGCAGAGCTGGTGGGACCTGCGTCATGGGGATGGGCACAGAGGCCGTGAGGATGCAGAGACTATGGCGGGTGGGGGAGCAGCCAGCGGGAGATGCCCATACAGAGGCTGTGAGGGAAAGAGGTGAAGTGACCATGGAGAATGGACACATAGAGTCCACAGGATAAAGGACTTACTAACTCATGATGGACCTCTCTCATGCAACAGGCGTCAACCCTTAACCAAAGAGAATGGTTCAACTTTTCTTGGCCGCTTGGCTCTCCTGGCTCTGCTCTTTCTGGGAGCTGACCTCCGAGTGACTACATCCCTGGTTCTCCCGGGATGGGTAAATTTCAGTGTCAAAGATGAGCTGGAAAGTGATCCCTGTGTCCTTACAGAGGTGTTGGTAGCGAGGACTGGGATACCGGTGCTCTGCTCCTCTGCAGATGAGGAGACACTCGGTTGGGGGGGGGGGAATACCAGGAAGTCCAAAGTGGTGCATGCAACTGTCCTGTATGTGAAGGACAGTCCAATTCCCCATGGCACCATGGGAAGGCACGGAATCACCTGACACCCAGAAATGGAGGGTACCCCTTCCTCCTGTCAGCTGCCAGAGGGTCTACAGCGCCCACTCAGTAGCTGGAGCTTTCTGAAGAGAAGGTGAGTAGGGCCTGAAAATTAAAGGGCTGGAGGCCAACTGTGGGGGAGGGGCGCTGGCGGTGCAGGCAGGAAGCCTCAAGGGGCAGCAAGCTGAGTTTGGTATCCTTTCTTCTGAATACTTTTGACAACTCCACTTCTGCGGATGTGTTCTGAGAGCCCCGAGAGACGAGAGACACCGTGGTGGATGCCCTGCAGTGGGTCCAATCTGGTCACTGGTTTTTAATACGGCCTCCTCTAAACCAATAATCGGTTGTCTTTTACTGAATAGAACATTTTGGTTTGATTTTGTGGAAATACCAGTGCCTTTGAGAGAACGTTCTTTTGAGGTCCTGAAATTAAACTTCTCTGGCTGTAGTATCAAACACACAGCTTTGTTCTCATCAAACTGTGTAAATAAAGGTAGAGACTGACAACCCACATCTGAAAGATGGCTGGCAGCCCCTTAGGGTTACAATGGGAGGGACGGTCTAGGAACTTAGGGGCAGCTTCATGCCTACATTTCCACTCTCTGCGTGTCCCTGGATGAGGCGAGTCAGCCGCACAGTGAGTGAGTTAAGTGTCAGAACAGTGAGCAGCCTAGCTGTGCGGTCACCAACACCCACAGCTTGACACAGTCATTGCCCGCCCAGCCACCCCACTGAGGAAAGCTGAGGTGGGTGAAGGGCCTGGGGCCTGCATTGCTTTACTGCAGGACTCGCTAACCCAGTTTTAGGCCCTTCAACTCCACTCTGCTTGCTGGGAAAGACCTCCCCGACTTACAGAAACGGGCCTTGCTCATGTCTGTGTGCGAGGGCAAACATGTAACAGCAGCAGCCATGGCTGCTACCAAACATTAAGACCCCATTGACTGAGAATTTTCTCCCAGTGAGGGCTATCCAGATGGGCCTCTGAATGCATTTCCTTGGTGTGGCATCAAAATGCTAGCAGGCCTGGAGAGGGCAGGGACCCTCCGTGCCTGCTCCTCCATCCCTGCTCCTTCCAGCCCTGTGACGCAGTAGCAGGCCACACTTAGGCACAAAGTGACAAAAGCATCAAGATGTTCTGCTAACTGCTACAGCCAGAGCGCCTGGCCTAGGACCTCAGAGCCAGGCGGTGACGAAGATGCAAATGTGAGTCCTCTGTCCCTGAGCTCCATAGGAAAAAAGGGGGCTGGAAGGAGGTCAGAAGTGGCCACGGAGGACACCCTCTCTGAATCCTAGGTTCTCTCGTTCCCCGAGCTATGGGGAGATGCTCTTAGCAGAGCCGTTGTTTGGTGTGGTGAGTTGGCCCAGCCCTCCTGTGGACCTGCCTGGCTCTCCTGACCGACCCACACACATCTCTGGTTTTTAAGATGAAAGCCTCTTCTTCAACCTGCCTTTTTTTCCTTCCTTGGTTTCCCCTCTCTGCTTTGTCAACTGTAGGCTTTTTACTCCTTACCAAATAGAAACATTGTAACAAGTAGAAGGAAATGTGAGGTTGGCAGACAGTCCTTCCTGCTCTGAAGTCTAGTCTTTTGGTTTGTTTTCTTTGAGGTAGGATCTCATGGGCCTAGGCTGACCTCCCACTCCTTGTGTGACTGAGGATGAGTTTCTGACCCTCTTCCACCTCCCAAGTGTCAGGATGAGAGGTGTGTGCCACCATTCCTGCTTTTGCACAACGTGGGGCTTCAGCCCAGAGCCTCTGCCCAGCTCTCCATTAGGTTCTGAATTCAGCTTCTTACCATTGTCTCTACCGAGCTCTGAACCACTGACTGGGAGCTTGCTCTATTACATGTGGCAGCTGCAGTGGTGACTGTCCGTGTCTGGAACTGTCAGTCTCTCCTACTGGAGACATCGATTCCGACCTTGCTTTCAAGGTCGCCTACCCATCTTGAGCATCTCCCACATTTTCGGTGAGATGCCGCAGGAGAGAGTCATGCTGTAACACGGCCCCTGAAGCAGTTCCTGGTGGTGTTCCACTAAGATCATGTCTTCTGCCCTTGTCTGGCCTTCCTTGGCTTTCTGCTGAACACAGGGGTGCATCCCCTCTGTGGCAAATGAAGACCCTTCACACTCATGGGACAGGGAGTTTGACTCAGTGGCCCCATGTGAACAGTACGGAGCTGGTGTGACTGTTGCTAACTTCCACCAGCCTTTGCCCATAACTCAAGGTCTATTGCGCTGTGTTGTGCTGGGTTGGCATTCCTAATAACTCTCTGCTTTTAGAAGTTCCAGGCTGGGAAACACACAGTCCTACTTATCAGAACTGTGCCTAAAATAAGAGTCAGTATATTTGAAGGCACACCTGAGAGCCTCCCCTGGGAGAAGCACCCAGGCTGAGAGCAGGGGCTGTGGTATCTATTTTGGCCTCAGTCTCTTTTTTTTTCTGCTCATTTCCTCTTTTGGGGAGTGACTGAGAAGGTATTATTAGAGAGGAGATCTCCAGGTAAATCAGCACTCGGGAGGCCTAAGGCACTTAGTGGAAGACAGCCAGGGAAAGCACAACCCTCCGATGCTATCGTGTTCACAACACTTCGGCGTCTTTAAATGACACTCACTAACCCACACAGCGCTGCGAAACTCACTGTTTGACACTTTCACTTGGAAGTTGATGTTATCGGAAGACTGTCTTCCGAGCAATTGCGGCATCCCGTATTCTCCTGAGTGTAGGCACGGGTGGGTGGTCCTCCATGGGTCTGTCTACTCTGCTTGGTGAACTCCAGGCTCACCAGTTGCATCCTTCTTCATTCTTAGCTGTCAGCATGAGGCAGTGGCCCCTCTCTCCATACTGGCCTCGTCCCTCTGCTTTAACTCTTCCCTTCTCTGTCTTCTGGGTTCGTTTTCTTCACTGAGCCTCACCCACCTTAGGTAGGACCACCCTGCGGCTGACGCTGATGCCCAGTGAAGCCCTAGGTGACAAAGACCCCAGAGCTAGTTTGGGTTTATGGAATCTGTATTTTCTCTTCTTTGTTATATCATTACAGATGAATGCTTCTCCAGAGGTGGTCTTGCAAACTGGGCCCTTTGCAAATGTTTCCAAGCTTCTTCGCCAAGGCTATCCTCAATTACATAGCAAGATCAAGGCCAGTGTGGGACATATGAGACCATGTCTCAAAATCACCCAGATGAGAAAATACCATCTTCTATCTTCTTAGGTGATAGAAAGAGAAGAGACCCTGACATTTGACAAAGTGGACCTCAGACTCCTTCCCTACTGGACCCTAGGGCACGACTCCTGCCCTAGCCTACACATGGTTGGAGTGACATTAAATGATAGATATTAAGCCCTGAAGAACACTCACAGTCCTTGAAAGACTGCCAAAGTGAGCATCTGCCTTGCGTCTCTACGGGACCAAAGGAACCCAAGTCCATAAGCATCCCATTAACATAGGACTCAGTAACGTGACCGCTGCAGTATGCTTCTTCCCTCCAAGCCTGACATCAACAATGACATCAGAAACAGCATTTCCCAAAGTCCAGGATGAAGCAGAACTTACCGACAATATTCCGACCCTCAAACCAGCAGCTGCAGTTTTTCTCTTAAATTTCAGAATTTTGAGATCTTTGCTCCCAGGTGTGGAGGCCCTGGTCTCAGGGGACTGAAAGTGATGACTTCGAGTCGCAGGTGGCTAGAACGGTGTGTGTCCTTGCTGTCCTGCTCTGGGCTCAGAGCTCGGCTCCTCGAGGCGGTGTGTGACTTGTTCTTCACCTTCATGGGGTGGGTGGTGAGCTGCCTCACCACAAATGTCTGTCTTCACCACGCTGCAGCCCATATGAAGGTAGCAAAGGTGGAGGCAGGAAGACACCTTATGTAACTAGGTCAATGATTTCACTGTGATGCAAATTTTTTTTGTTTCAAAATTATTAGTCTGTGGAATGCTTCTTGATTCTTGGAAATTACATATCAGGTAGGTAAAGTTCTCTGAAAAGGGGTCCTGTCCACCCAAGGGACTATAGTCAGCTACCCACATTTTTGCTTTTGAAGGAAGGAAATCTAAAAACCTCAGCAAGTGTCTACGAGGCTACACATTCCCCAAGACAGTCTTTCTTTGGCCCTTGGTGGAAAACACCCGTGATTTCTGGTAGGTGAGGTGGGTGACAACCCAGGGCTTGGGCACTCATGCCTCTCCTGTCTTTGTGAGTCTTAAACACTGTTAAAGGCCATGTTTGTATGGCCATGTTTGTGTGGCACCAGGCAAGGGTACTTTTCATTTATTTTTGACAAATAATTTTCGCAAAATGGATATTATCACCCTCACTTGCCAGGTATGAACAAGCCAGCTCACAGAGGTGTTGGGTCATTTGGAGCCATGGATTTGGTCCATAAGACTCAGAGTGCTGAGGCCCTTTACACTAACCCACATAAACCAGTTTCATCAGCAAACACTCACTTAGTCCCAGCTCTGAGTCCCAGCTCTGTGAGGAAGCTGCATTCCGGGAAGAGCAGAGAAAGCAGGGAACCAAACAAGCTGAAACCCTCGATCTTGAAGGATTTACATGCTCATCATGGGACGGCAAACACCGTGAAATCAAGTGTGCACAGTCTGACAGACTTTACTGTGATGTAGCTAGCTAATGGAGCCTTTACACACATTCACCATATGTGAGAGGGGACTCTGAGGAGGAAGAAAGAAGTGGTTTTCAGGATGTGGTGTCTAACACTGAAAGAGAAGCCTGGCCTAGGAGCTAAGAGTAAGATTAGAAAGCTGGGCCAGAAGCAAGGCAAGCAGTAGGCACAGGGCTCGGGACCCCTCCCACCTCGACACTGGTGCCCGAACTCCCCTTCCCTAGAAAGGGACTGGTGAGCTCACACTGCGTTTGAAGCATGCTCCACATTCACACCCAGCTGGAGACAGCTTTCAGTTCTTCTCATTATTTCAACTTGCTTATGTTTCTGTCATCAGCTGAGTACGTGAATATGAACTGAACTGGCCAGGGTGTGACCCCCGAGACAGTGTGACCCCCTCCCAGGAATCACACTGGTCAGCACCAGTGTCTTTACTGTGGAGTAGAAGTCATGTTTGCCTTGCAAAGATGCAAGGTTCAGAGGAGGGAACAGATGACGCAACGTGAGATGGGCCTTGGTTCTAGATGATTCCAAACCCCACCTCTGGAACTAATTCGGTAAATCACGAAGAAGGCTGAGCTTCTCCCTCTCTGGTTTTGACTCACATATTTAGTGGCCTTTTTCTTATCGGCTTACAGAGAGAACCTGATGGAATGTCAGCTTTGAGTGACCTGAGCACAGGTGCAACTCTCCTGAGTAGTCTGGGTTCTAGCACGCACGACTTGGCTCTTCAGCTCGATGGCCTTCGGTCTTCAGGGTCCTGTGTGCTGTGTCTCAAAGGACACAGTTGGGACATCACAGCCCAGGTCTGCAGATGTTGGGGTCAGGCTCCTGCTGCTATTTACAGCCCCTCCACTGACAATCAACAACTGTGATCACCTCGCTACCACATCATCATGGGGTCTCGGGGTTGCCACACCCGACACCACTTCCTCATTCATTCAAAGCAGCCCGTCCAGGCTGGCTTGGAAAAATCAGTAAGCCACCCACGATGTGACTCTTATTTTCAACATGTTTGTCCCTAGCTGAGCCCCACCCCACAGTGTCCCAGCAGCTCCTGGCGGTGATGGACATAGTGGAAAGGCTTTGCTTGTCACAAGTATGGCACCACGCTGGCGGGAGCTGGAAGCAGCTATTGTGGTCCAGCATCAGAGCATCTGAGGTAATTCACAGGGACAGACTCAGCTAAGGTGACATGCTCCACCTGCCAGGGAAGTGACCTCAGGGAGGGTGGAGAAGAGTGGGCTATGGATGCAGGGTATAACCTAACACTCACTAGTCCCCCTTTAGGAAGCACCCCCAGAGCGGTCGGTAAGACTGAGGCGCCTGCTCCAGGGATGGCTAGCCCCTCACATCAGTCCCACCAAGTCCAGTGACTCACTACAAGACACAGGATGAGACAGTCTTTGACTCAATGACACAGACATCTCATCATGGAGGTTGGTTAACATTTCCACCCAGTTTGTCGAACCTGAGCCCCATGCTGTACAGTGGCTTGGGAAATTCCAGACAGTTACCCAGACTCAGACCAGTTAGATCCGTGTTCAGACTCCAAGGGACATAGCTTAGGACTTCACGCTGTTGTCTCTGCTTGTTTATCCATGGCGCTCTCATCCGGATTTCCACCACCTTGACCATAGCTCGCGGAATGAAAAACCCAGCTCACTGAAAAGAGCGAGCCCAGGCTAGATTCATCAGTCTTGTCCTGCATCAGACTGAAGCAGTTGCTACAGCGAGGCTGCAGAGAGGGCTGGGAGAGGCCGGGGTTTCATTAGTTGGAAAGGTTGACTTCCATCTGTGGGGCTCGTGGAGGCACCCCACCCTGCCCACACACGGGCAAAGCAGGTTGACCGTGGGCTGCAGGAATGGCTCTTTGCTGTGAAGGAAGAGACTGGCTTCTCCACAAACAGCTATGGGAGCAGTTGTGGAAGCCTGGTGAGGCCCCACAGCACTGCACTGGGGAGATAACTTCAGCCTAATTAGCTGGGCTGACACCTGACAAATAGTGTCCTTTTAGAGATGGAATTTAGTTCAATCATCAGTATTGGCCCTGATCCAGCATGACTTGGTGTCTGCAGTTGCTTGACAAACTTGGCAATCTGATTTGACACTCAGAGCCCGAATGGTAGAAGGAAAGAAATGGTTCCTATAAATCTTCTGATTGCCACAATATGCCCTGGCATGGGTGTCCCTCCCCCCAATAAATAAATGTTAAAGGAAGAAAAACAAAGAGGAAGTGGAGGCTGTATAGGTAGTTCAGTGGTTAAGAACACTGACTGCTCTTCCAGAGGACCGGGGTTCGAATCCCAGCACCCATGTAGTGGCTCACAGCCATCTGTAACTCCATTTTCAAGGGAACAGGTGTTCTCTCCTGGCCTCCACAGGCAGCAGGTAAGCACACAGTGCATAGACATACATGGAGGAAAAACACCCTCACATCACTTACATACAAATTAAAAAACAAACAAAAAGATGGTGCCATGTTGCTGTGTCCTTCCACAGCACGAGGTTAGGAGGAGCTCTCTGTGTCCCCTTTGATTCATGGGGTTCCACTGTTCTGATTGCCTCCTGTGAATTACTTCCTAAGTCTTGGAGGTGAGGACTCAATACCCAAGTCTGGGGACACAAAGATTACAATGGCAGCATTTGTGCAGACAGTCTCATAGTGCATATGAATCAAGGTTTAGCTTCCCAACAGGCAAAATCCCCTGGCCTACCTCCTCCCTAAGAGGCTGACCGAGGGCCAGAGGAACAGAAACTCGTCGGCAGCTACAGAACCGTGGTGACACCCTTCCCTTCCTGGCTTGGAGCCAGCAGCCTACATTGCGCATGCTAGCTGCTCAGGTACTGCCCCTGATGGAAGAACTGACAGGGGCCGCTGTCCTTCGCTGCAGGGATAACTCAGGGCAGAGAAGGAGAAAGGAGGCTTGAGCAACCCTGTGCCACTCCTGCTGGTACATGTAGCTCTGTGCGCAGTCTCCCAAGGCCTGCCTGCTGCCATCCCCGTCTGCACAGACTGCCCTCAGGTCCGCCCTGATGACCGCTGCTTCCACCGTTTCTATGTAGGAGGATGGTCCTCTCCTTCCCCACAAGCCATTGAGATGCTCATCCAGGCAGTTTGCCTTCCAACCTCGGCCATCTGTCTCCCGTTCCTAGGACTGTGGCACAGGACCCTGTCCCCGTGTGCTATGATGGGCTGTGCTGGAGATCACACTCTGCAGAGCATCCCCTCTGGGTGCCCAATGGGCACTGGCATAAATTCCTACTCTTTCCTTTTGCAGTTCTAAAACAAGGCTGAGCTTTCCTGGACTAGCCAGTGAGTCTACTAGGTAGCACTCCCAAATAGAGTTAGACTTCCCTGAATCCCTCCCATGACTGCCTGCATCAACCCTGCATCCATGCACCCCTGCATCCCCACATCCCTGCATCCTTGTATGCCTGCATCCCTGTATCCCTGTACTCCTTCATCACTGCATCCCTGTGTCCCTGCACCCCTACATCCCTGCATCTCTGAATCCTGCACCTCTGTACCCCTGCATCACCCCTGCATCCCTGCACCCCTGCATCCCCACATCCCCGCATCCCTGCATCCCTGCACCCCTGCATCCCTGCGTGCCTGCATCTCTGTATCCCTGTACTCCTTCATCACTGCATCTCTGTGTCCCTGAACCCTACATCCCTGTATCCCTGCACCCCTGCATCCTGTGTCTCTGTATCCCTGCACCCTGCATCCCTCCATCCTGCACCCCTGCATCCCTGTATCCCTGTACTCCTTTATCACTACACCCCTGTGTCCCTGCCCAAGAAGTTTCTTCCTCTACATTGCCAGGAACTGCTTCCAGGTAACATTTACATCTAAACAAAACTTGGGAGACTGTGAACACTTTCATCCAGGGGCAGCATGCCATTTTATTGTTCAAATACATGCATTTAAAATGCCTACAAGTGTAACATGAGGGCATGCACCATTTGTTGACTGATGTTTTCTGTCCTGCCCGGTTCCCACAGTCGTTAAGTCCCAAAGAAATCACACAGAAGTCTACAAAGTTATAAATTGATTGGCCCATTAGCTCAGGCTTCTTATTAACTCTTATAACTTATATAGTCCATTATTAGTTCATTATTTTTATCTGTGTTAGCCATGTGGCTCGGTACCTTATTCAGCAAGGCAGGTCACATCTTGCTTCTTTGGGGTCTGGACAGGACTGGGGAGGAATGGGTTTCCTTCTTCCCAGAATTCTCCTGTCCTCATTGACCTGCCTCTACTTCTTGTCTGGTTGTTCCACCTATACTTCCTG